TACCCAGCAGCACAAGGGGGTCTGTGACGGGAGCCCGCATGATAAGCATTCTGTGGACGGACGTTTCTGTCCAAGAGAAATGCTCGGTGAAAGTAATATTCAGAAGAAATAAGACTTGACGTAGGCCTGGGGGAGGCTGTGAGGAAAAGTAGGGACTTTAAGACAGGGTGAGGGGGACGCAACAAGACATGTTGTAGGGCTGAGGGGCAGGAGCACCCAGCAGGAGAGGAGGGGTGAAGAGGGTCAGAATGGTTGGGAGAGAAGCAGCATGGGGTCAGTGTGGCCGGCTCCACAGGGCTGGCCTCAGGGCCAGCACGAGAGGGGAGAGAGCAGAGAACCATCCAAAGGTTTTGAATACAGCAGAGACAATAAAAAATTGTTGTCAAAAGCGTTCTGAGGTTCTTCCAATGTGAGAGCAGGGATTTCCAGGAACTGGGCTCAGTCTCTAAGATGTGATGACAGGTCACTGCCCTGGTGTGCCCAGCGAATGCCACAAACAGAATTTCTCTGAATTTCAGAGAAAACAGACAAGAATCTGTTTGGCCGGCAGGTGGACACCCTGGGGAAGGTTGGGTGGGTGAGTTGACGAGGTAGGCTGGAGGCTGTGGCCAGCCGTCCCAGAAGGGTGAGCTGCTGAGCCTGACGGGGTTGCCGAGGCTTGCATCAGTGCCCGCCCTGCCCTCGTCCATCAGTGTTTTATGCGAAGATAAAGAATTTGTTTATCAAACCTGTGGACAACAGGTCGTTAATCCTTTAGGTAAGAGAACCAGTCATTCTAAGGCTATCTCAGAAGGCTGAGAGGATGCACTGAACTGAGCAGGGTAACATGAAAGAGAAGTGTTACCTTCCACTCTGGCCTTATTTGGGCCCAGGCTCACAAGTACAGCTCGGGTGAGGCATGGCTTCTTAGTGGCTCACGTACCTGAAAACATTTTATAAGCGCTCAAATGATAAAACGTTTCAAAATTGGTGAGTGAGAAGGAAATATGAATTGTTAGTCACCTGGAAAAAACCCAGGGGTTCCGAGTGATTTTAAGCTCCATGGAAGTTGGGGGTGTCTTGCTACCGCCCAAAGGGCAGACACATACAAAGCTTGTGAAATCTTTAGTAACTGGTGTGTCACAGGCTTATGAATCAGAAAAGGCTCAGATTCTAGCAATGGAACAGGCATTTACCTGTTGGCAGGAGTTTACCTTTCATTGTAGGATTTTGGGGAAGACCATGTGTGGGGGTTGGGGGTCCTGGGGATGGGGACCAGGGAACACAACAGTAGCTGTGAAAATTTCAATATTTGATCAGCCTGCAGGCCCGGACTGATGGCCAGGGGCTGAATGTCTGGCCAGCAGCACCACTGTTCCCAGTGCCTGTGGGATCTCACCTGGCGGGTGGTGTTTAGCGGGGGCACTGATAAGTCTGTGCCTATCGGGGGAGCGCCACCAGGGCTGGGAGGTCGAGAGACTTCGTAGTGACATCAGGTGAAGAATGGGTGAAGGAACTAGGGAGATTTCATCTGAGAAGGTGTGGCCTCAGACATCTCTAAGACTTCCACGTGGGAGACAGAAGAGCTATATTCCCCATTTACTCCTAGGAGACGGACCTGAGACAACTGAGTGGAAGCGGAAGTGGTCAGATTCTGGCTTCATGAGACTCTGAGCAGCTAGAGCTGCCTAAAGTTGGAGCCTTGTGAGGCCGCACACTCCCTCCCTATTCCTGGGGGAGTTCGGGCTGAGGCTGGTACCAGTCCCCGTGAGTGTGGCAGAGAGGCCTCTCGCCTAGGCTGACAGGAGGGTCCGGCTGCACTCAGTCACTTTGGAGTCCCCCACATCCCCCGTGCATAATCTAGTGGTGGCATACGGAATGGACCAGAGTGGGGGCGGGGGGGACTAGATTTATCTGGAGGGGTAATTAGGGAAGGGAAAGTGCAGGGGAATTCTGGTGCTCCAGCTGGCTCTGTGGTCGTGGTGCCTGCTGGAGGATCCCTGGTGGGACGGCAGCTGAGTCTAGCAGTCATAGGTTGCTAATCTTGATGCTAGTGGTTTGCTTCGTCAGTCTAGGACAACTGAGAGAGCATAGAGCAGAGGGAAGGGTAGGGGCTTCCTGGGTCTGGTTTCTGTAAGAGTGGCATAGGGGTGGAGAGCCAAGAGCTGCCTCAGTGTCCAGCTGCCCCCTCTCCCCCCCAAGCAGGTGATTTCTCCTGCAGGTGCTGCCTCTGGGTGGGTGGGAGAAGAAGGAAGGGTGGGGAGGCTCTGGGTGTCTCACCAGCTCCTCCACCCACCCGCCTTGCCCTCCATCTGCCCTCAGACATGGAGTCCGAGCTGCTTCGGGGGAGCCAGACCATCAAGCTCCGCTCGTCAGACCTGACGGGGCTGGAGAAGCATGTGGAGCAGATCCGAGACTACATCAATGGGCGTGTGCTCTACTATGCCACCTGTAAGTGACGTGCCAGCCTCCAGCCCCTGGCCCCCGCTCATCTGCCCTCTTTACTTGGGCTGGATTCCATCCCGGCTCCAGGAGACTTTTCTACAGCCTTGAAGCACAGCCCGAACCCCCCTGTGTGCAGCTAGTAAGATCTTTCTGGGCTGCTGCTGAGCCTGAGCTGATGGGAAACTGTATTCGAGAGACAGAGAGGGTGGAGGCGGGCCGTGGCCTTGGGACAAGGAGCTCTAAGTGGAGGTGCACTTGGCTGGCCAGCGTCCTTGCCCTTCAGCTTTCATGGAGGCTGAAGCCTGGATGAACACAAAAACTGAACCAAAAAATGACATGCAAATGAAAAGCCCAATAAAAACCTTTGGCAAGAAGTCTGGAGGTTGAAAGAGAGAAATTGGTCTGTGTCCCATAAGTAAACCTTTGTCACTTGTTCCTGTCTCCCACCTAGGGTTCCGGGGCGCTCCTCTGCTCAAGCCCAAAGCCCAGTGGTGTAGGGAGCACAGGCTGCCCCACGTGGCTCAGTACAGCTTGCTTGTCACCCAAACTTAGAGGGACTGGACCCCTTTGTCCCAGGACCTAATGTAACCCATCCTTGAGAGACCCGATGATTTTCATCTTTGAGCAGTGACCCAGTTGTTCCTTCACAGATGAGGAAATAGAAATCCAGAGAAAGGAGGGCTTGTGTCCACATTCCCACAGCTCCAGAGGCAGAATCTGTGTCTCTTGGGATCTCAAAGAGAAGCTGCAGATGGATGTGCGTTTGTGTGTGCAGCAGGTAGGGAAACAGCACGGGTGTGTGTGCTAACCACGGCCTGTGCCATGTGCTAGGCGTTTTCAAAATTAAAAAAAAAATTTGTCTTAAAGGTTTTACTTATTTATTTGAGAGAGAGAGGGACAGAGACAGAGAAACAAAACAAAAACAGGTGGAGAGACAGAGAGGAAGAAGCAGACTCCCTGCTGAGCCGGGAGCCTATTGTGGAACTCGATCCCAGGACCCTGGGATCATGACCTGAGCGGAAGGCAGGCGCTTAACCAACGGAGACCCCCAGGAACCCCATGCTAGGCATTTCACCTACACTTTCTTGACATTATTAACCATGTTGATTATTTACTGAGCACTGTGCAAGCACTGTCTGCATTATCTCATGATGCTGGTTCCATTTGACAAGTGAGGAAGCCAAGGCACAGATGGTTGTGTCACTCCCCGAAGGTCACAGATGTGGCAGGGCCAAGGCAGGGCAGGGCTTCAAATCACCATCATCTAGAGCATCTAATATCGTTGTTAGGAGACTGGACTGTGTGAGCTCTGACAGAGCTACCCCAGGAGCGGCGGTGAGGAGGGAATGAGTCACCAGCGGTATCTCATGTCAGCTACTAGCAGGCACACACTATGCACTCAGTCTGTGTCTGCCTCTACACTGCCAGGTTCCTCCAGACCCCAAGGGCCCAGCACACTCTCCACTCCGCACAGGCGCCGAAGTCCCAGAGCCACATCTGACTTTATGAATAACCAAATGAAGTCTCATAGAGAAAAATATGTCCATTTTATTGAGCACAACACCGAACGTGAAGCTGGAGGGGACGGGGGTACAGGAAAACGAGGGAGGGACAAGAATGTTTCTGATTTTCTGGGAGAGAAGAGCAGAAGCAGGATGAGAATTACCAGCTGAAATGGGAACAGTCAACTTCCAACTCTTACTTAATCGTGTGTGGGTGAGGCATCCCGCCAGGATGAGAATTCCTTACAGCCCCTAATCACTGATTTCTTTCTTTTCCATCTGGAAGGCTGTGGTACTGCTTTTGGCCTGGGGCAGGGAGGGAGGTGTGCTGGGCCAGTTGGAGCTGATCATGGAGTCAAGGACTGGAACTTGAGAGCTCACAGGCAGAGCAGGAGCCCCCGGCCATTCATGCAGATGGGCAGGCGGCTACATTAATGAGCCCGTGCTGGCCACGGGCATCAAGGCCTCGAGGCAGGAGCATGTGCTGAGCAGGAGTCGGGGGTTGAGGCTCCATATGGCTTTGCTCAGAGAAGGTGACACAGCCTGGCCAGCCCAGGAAGCTTTTCATCACAAACGACACAGACCCGGGCGAGAGCTACCTAGTTCACTGCACAGAGCCACGGCACGTAGGGTGTTGGGGGCACAGAGCAGGCAGGCCAGGGAGACCCCGGGGGTGGGTGGCCGCCGGCTCCTCCTGCCCACAGCTTCAACGAGGCCTCCGCGCCTTGGGGGCTCGCTCCTGGGCCTTCTGGAAGGGTCTGCCCAGGCGGCAGCCACCTGCTGCTCCACACCGTCACCCACTCCCGCCAGGCCCTGCTCTGCCCGCCTCGCCTTCCTCCCGTTGCAGGGTGGACGCCGGGCTGGGAAGGCAGAGAAGAGTCGCGTGCCTCTCCTGCCGAGGAAAGGGGTTCAGGGTGGCTGTGGGCCTGCGGCTCCCAGGGGCCCTCAGACCCATTCATTCAGCCGGTGATGGGGCTGGCCTTCTGGGACAGCAGCTCTCCCTGAGCCCCCTGCCTTGGCCCTCCCACCTGTGTTGCCTCACCTGAAAATCGACCCAGACGCGGGCTCCAGGGATCACATAATGAGACAGACTCCAGTCTGCCCCGCCCGGCAGTGGGAACCGCCACCCGCTTTAACTGGCACCATGACCTCTGATTTGTAGTTCCTGGAAAGCAAGCGCGGTGGGGGCTGTGACGTGTTCGGGGAAGGGACAAGAGCTGCGGGAGCTCTCCGCGCCTGTGGCCTCCACTTGGCCCTCCCTCCCTCAGGTTCACAAAGTACAAGCCCTTGCAGAGAGGATGGAGATGACAATGGAGCCCCACTTCCCCCCGCCACCCAAAACACAATGGTTCTAGAAACTTGAGAAATCGACTGCCCACCACGGACACGTACACAGTTTTCTGCAGACATTTTGTAATTCCTGTTGCTTCACTAAGCTTTTAGGTAGCTCTGTGAGGTGGGCTGAGCAGGCGAGCGTGCTCTCACAGATGAGCAAACCAGAGACGGGGACATCCACTGATCCGACAGCAGCCACTCAGCTAGGGGCAGGGACAGGACTGCGGGCACTGACCTCACCCCCGGCCCAGAGCTCTTCCTGCCCTGCGGAGCCAGCTCCCTTCAGCCCCAGCACCCGAGCAGGGCGAGGCCTCTGTCTCTGGCAGAGGATACGTACTGTTTCTTGTTGGCTTTTTTGAGCAGCGCGGGCTCGGAGCTGTAGGAGGACTTCCCTTTGCCCCCGATGCTCAGGCAGCTGGAGCAGCAGCCGCAGGGCCCGGCGGCCAGGGGCCCCTGCTGCATGGGCACCAGGCTGCTGCTGATGCGGAGCGAGCCGTTGACCAGGCAGTTGAGGGACCGGCCCCCGGGGGCCGCCGGCCGGGCGCCGAGCTGGCAGGGCAGCCGTGTCAGGGCGGGAAGGGCCGCACTCTGATCCAGGGCCGGGGCCTCGGGGACGGTGATCTCGGAGGAGCCGGATCTCGAGGCTTCTGAGACTGGGGTGCTGGGTGGCCTGTTTTCCACCTCCGGGCGGAGGCCTGGGCTGTGCAGGTTCATGTGCAGCTTCCTCATGTGGTGGACCACAGCGGCCGCGTTGAAGGCTTGCTGAGGAGACATGAGACCCGCCTCTGACCCTCTGCATTCTCGCAGGGCCACGGGGCTCAGGCTTTCCCTCCGTCTGGTGGCTTTCGCCTCTTGAAACTGATGTGCTCACATCTCACTTCAGAGAGGGTCCAGGGAGGCCCAGTGGCTGCCAGGAAGCCCCAGGGAAAGCCCCTGGCCAGCCTCGCCCCAGCTCAGCCTCCAGGGGCCCAGAGCAGCCCGCCTGCCTCCTGCAAAGGGCCACTTACCCTCCACTTGCTCTTGGCAAAGTTCTTCTGGATCTGGAGACTGACTGATGGGTAGATGTCCCGGTGGAGGGCTGTGTTCCCATCAATCCTGTGGGTGTAGAAGAGAAGCCTGGCTCACTGGGGGCCGTGCGTGCAGGACCAGGTTAAGCTGAGTGCCGTGCCTCAGAGGAAGGGTGGCCCATGGCAGGAATGGGCTGGAACCAGGGCTCCTCTGTCCCCTTGGGCAGCTCATTATGGGTTCCATGCTTTGGCAAAACCGAAGTCTTATTTTATAGTAGGTGGGCAAACTATGACCTGTGGGGCAGATCTACCCATGGCCTGTAACGAGGTCTCCCTGGGACCCAGACACGCCCGTTCATTCAAGTAGGAGCTGTGGCTGCTTCCATGTGACAAGGGCAGACTGAGTCGTTGCCTTATAGACCGTATGGCCAGCTAAGCCTAAAATACTTATTTTCTGGCTTCTTAGAGAATAGGCTTTCTGGGCCCTGTGTCAGAGGGTGCTTGGGTTATCACTATCCTTTAGCTCAAAACTTTCCTCAGAACACACCTCCTCCAGGAAGACTTCCTCAGTGAGGCCTCCCGATACAGGCCGCCTTCTTCCTGGTCATCCATCTCTACGTGCTCCTCAGATACTTGCCATTACATGGCCCAGGACTTTCTAGGTACTAGGGACACAGAGTAGTAACAGATGGGACCCTCATCTCTGAGGTCTTCCAGTGGAGCTGTGGAACCTTGTTCCATGCCATGAACTTGAGTAATTCATGGTAAGCTGTGTAATTGCTAGAGGGAGGTAAGGAGGTGAGCCTGGCCTGCAGGACCCAGGGCTTCAGGCAGGGCAGAAACTGCTCTGGATCCTGATGGATGCTGCATAGAAGGCAAGAGGCAGGACATTCTAGGTGGTGAAAATGGTGTGACCCAAGGTGTAGGTTGGAAAGAGTTTGGGATAGGGAGTAGGAGAGGGCAGGAAGAGAAAGAGAGCTTTGAGGCCTTTCTGGAACAGAGAAGGTATGTTGGGACTTTGGGGAAATGCAGGTGGAGGTAAAGGGTCAGGCCAGATTAGGGAACACGTGAAGAGGCAGAGGAACCTAGGCCTGCTGTGGTAGCAGGTGGGGCACTATTACGAATCCTGAGCAGGGGTGAAGCATGAACAAGGGGTAGAGCATGTTCACTTTACTGACCGGTTCCTTTGTGATTCTTTGCCAATCGCCTCACTTAGAGCAGGTTTTGACCCCACAGTGAAACGATGCTCTTCAGGACAGGGCAGAGCTGCCTACTCCCGGGGCCTCTTGAGTAGCTAGTACTGAGTACTGCGTCCTAGTACTGGTAACAGTGCCCGGCCGCGTCTGTCTCCTGGCCTTGACTAGTGACACAGTAGCCACTCTGGAGTCGGAACCCACTTCCTTAAATGCTGTCTGCACCTCTAGCTGGACCGGACACAGGCGTCCGCGCTCCTTGCGTGCTGAAGGGCAGAGAGCTCAGGGAAGCCGACTCTTGGGAAACACCGCTTGAATGAGTCGTCATGGTCTCTGGGGAACCACCAGGCTAGGGGCCGGAGCTCAGCCCCCCCTCACTCACCACGGGTGCCTCAAGGCCTTCTCGCAGGTATACCGTTCATTCGGGTCCTTCTCCAGCAGGTGGCAAATAAAATCCTTAGCTAAGGGGAGCAATCAAAGACACAATAGGGACCAGGTTTCATGACTGATGGAAACTCACTTCCGGGCTGGTGGGTGGCAGCGAATGCATCCTTAGCTAATCTTCCAAAGAGGCAATTTTAAGACTCTTAAAAGAGAAAAAAAAAAAAAATCCAAACCACCTAACAGCAGCCCACCATAAACCACCAAAGAGAGACTCTCCATGGCCTCCCCCACACAGCACTGCAGATACAGCTCTTCTCACGAGGCCCCGCCGTGCCTGCAGGTCTCGGGGGTCTGCCTTTGCACCACCCAGGCGCCGGCAGCCACGAGTGGGCACACGTGAGTGCAGCCTCAGCTCTCCATGGATCTCCACTTAATGGACCCAATGACTTGTAACGACTGCCTCCTCTCACACACGCAGACGTTGCAGGCTCTCAGTCTGGTTATATAATAAAGGCAAAACTTGGCCTTGGTTTTGCCACTCGTGCCTGGAACACTCCCTTGGGCAGGCTCTGCCCTCCTGGCTCCTCATCTAAACTCCCCTGCACTCCGCCCCCCTCTTCTTGCATCCTGTGGTTCTGTCTCCAGGAAAACAAAAGCATGAACCTGAGATGCGAATAATTTATTTGGCCTTTGAGCCAGATGAAGATTTCTCCACTCTCCTTGGCAGCCTGTTCTAGAAGATTCCCAGGGGACTTTCAAGAGCCAGGACTGTCATCCGCTGTTAAGCTCTTTTTCTCTTGGAAGCCTTTGCCTTGAGCCTGTTGTCTTGTCCTTCACACCTGCTAGCCTTACCTGACTCAGAAATGTCATCCCAGAATGGAGACTCAAATTCATAGTAGCCCTCCTTGATCTTCTCGAAGAGCTTTGACTCCGTTTCTTCATAGAAGGGGGGATACCCACACAACCTGCAGTGAAACAGGAAGGAGTTATGCTGCTAACAACCCCAGTCTCTCCCCTCTGCCCGGCCTCCACTGCAGATCACAGGCAGGAAACAGGAACCCCAACCAGCAGTAGGAACAGGATCTGCCTCATTCTGGAATGATGCAGGCCCCATCAAGCAACTCTGGAGGGCCCCTTTGTGCGTTATTCCCCCCAAAGCCACACTGCCCCTGCTATACCTCCCCGACACTTAGAGGATGTATAAAATACCTTTAAGAGAGATAACAGAACATCTGCTTGAATACGTTTCGTGAGGGATTTTTAAGGTTATTTTGTTCTTTATTCTTTAGTACCTACACCAGTGATTAGCGCAGAAGAGACGGTCAATGAATTTTTGTTGAGTACACGAATAAATGAGAGTAGTTATTCAACATAAGGTTAGTAAATAAAAAGTTGAGTCCCTGCTAAGGGATAGATATGGTATTTTCCTAAGAGCAGAGTCATCTGGAGGTGAGGAGGGATGGTGGGGGAGGGTGATGAATAGGTCTGGAAAGGAGAGGCCAAGACGATGTGAACAGGAACTATGACCTGGTTCATTCAGGCCATCACTTTGCCTTGGGCAGACTTGCCCAATCTGAGATGGGAACATTGTGCCCACTTGGCTTCTAAGCTTGGCTTGGCCTTTCCTTTCTTCACTGCTCGTTCCATAGAGCAGGACTCAACACAGTTATAGAGACTAAATGGGGGTGGGGTGCAGGAAGAGACAGAACCATATGGCTGAACAGTGGGTTCACACTGAGCTCTATTGTAATAACCTGGTGGAGACCAGGACGGAAACCTTTGGAGCTGTGTGCCTGGTAAGTATGAGTGTGTGTGTGTGTGTGTGTGTATGTGGATGCACATGTGTACACGCACATGCTTTGAAGGTGGTTGTTGCTTGAGGAGCTAAGATAAGGGAGGGGAGAAAAAGGATGAGCTGTTCTGAGATTTCCCAGAAATTGAGCCAATGCAGGCTTCTACTCACAATATGTAAGTGATGACGCCAATGGACCAGCAATCCACAGCCTTGCTGTAGGGTTTCTGGGCCAACACTTCCGGAGCTGCAGCAAATGAAAGGTAGAGTCAGGGATGGAACAAGAAGAGAAGGCTGAGAGGTGGGGGGTCAAAGGTCAGGAAGAGGATTAGAGAAGCAGACTAGGAAGCTCCTGGGATGGTAGTGTTTCTGTAAGAATGAAAACTTTCCCAGGGCAGGGACTGGGGCTCTCCCATAATCCTGAATCTTCCTCCGTCAGCCTGGAAGGTTCCCATGACAGAGCCTATGACTCTTACATCAGACCAGGGCTACATCTCTCCCATCAGACTGAGTACTCTCTGAAGGCAGGTCTTTGTCTCCCCATGCAGATAGTGTGTCCCAGGGCTGGGGCTGTGTGTCTCTGTTCAGACAGGGACATATGTGAAGTAGAGGCAGTCTCTCCCGCTAGACTGGGATCTCCCTAAGGGAAGAGACAGAGTCTTCCACATCAAATGAGGAGCTCTTAGAGGGAAGTGATAACTGTCCTATCCATCTCAGGTAACTTCTGCTGTATCAGATCAAGAGCTCCATGAGAAAACAAGCCATGTCTTCCCCTGACTGGGAGAGTAGAGAGTTATCTTCTGAATTCATCCCAGATACCAGGGCTTTGTACTCGGTAGGACTCAACACCTACTGACTGACCTCTTTTTGAGGGTGAGAGTAGGTATTTCCTCTATTATGCTAGAGGTCACCTTTCTGTGTGCCATCCTCAACCAGGTGATGAGTGGCTAAGAGGGAAGTGGGCAGGAGGAGATGCTCTGAGTATTAGTTTTCTCTCCATGGATCTCAGGAATGTTTTCACCTGGTAACTTGCTGGCTTTTACTTTTTGGGGGACCTTCAAAGCCTCCTGTTTAGGGAGGAGGCTCCATCTCTACCAGTTTCTTAGGGAATATATTTGGGGGAGAACACCTGGGTTCCTCAGCTTCAAACTCAACACTATTCCTCCAGGATACTAACAACTGGGGCACTGAGGTCTCTTCTGGGCATGGGAGAAAGGAAAAGGGGTGCCTAGTGTCAACCTCTTAGCAATCTAACCATCTCTGGTTTTATGCTCTTGTCTCTGCCCCTCAGCTAGCCAGAAAGACAAAGCAGGATGTCTGTCTGCAAAAATGATAGCTAAGTATAGGCAGGGGCTGTGGGATGGCTCAGGGGTAGGCTGTGTCTAAAGATGCAGGGTTTGGGAGCAGGAGGGGTAGTTCCAGAGATACATGATCTACCCTAAACCTCATAGTTAATGCTCTACTTGGGTTGCCTTTGAAGTTGAACCCTCTATCCCGATAACCACCCCTCCCCATGAAATAATATCCATGAGGTTGAACACAGCCAACTGGTCAACCTTCCTCCTCCTCCCAGACTCACCCACATAGCCTGGGGTCCCACAAGCAGTGGACATGACTCCACTCTGTTCCATCTTGGACAGACCAAAGTCTGTGATCATGATCTTAGAGTTCTCTTCAGGGGTTAGGTACAGCAAGTTTTCAGGCTGTGGGAGAAGAGCGATATCATGTAATGTAGGATATAATCATCTGAAATACAGATTTTTTTTCCTCTCCTGATATATAATTTCTTAGGAAGCTGTGCTCTGGGCTCCTGACTTCAAGGTCAGGCTCATCTCCCCCAGTTCTTTCTTCCTTCCTCCTACCTACAGCCCCCTACTCCATATCCAATCGCTCCGTATTTTGCTCATGGCCCTCATGTTGGTCAGCTTTATAGCCATTAAGGTACTACACCCACCCTCCCCACATCCCCAACTACCCTAAGACTGTTACTTGAGGGGATCAAACCATGGTTAATTGTCTCTGAATTCTCTAAAGTCTAGTACATGCTTGGTGCAACATTGACACCCCCCCATTAAGTATTTCTTACATTTGATTTGACTGTGGTTTGGTTCGAGAAACATGTGGATTATCTTGGTATCCTACTAGGGTGAGGCCCCATGGAAAGTTCAGGAAAAGGCTGAGATGAAAATTAGCAATGATTGTTCAGTCATTTAAGTTTTGTTTAAGGAATCCGAGGGCAGAGGGGACCTTAGGATTCTACTGCTCCTACCCTCTCATTTTACAAGGCTTAGGCTGCCCATGACCTAGGCAAGCTTCCTAAAGGGTCATTCTCTGTGTCCCACTGAGGGCTCCCACTTTGGCACCTTTAAGTCTCTGTGGACGATGCCATTCTCGTGGAGGTATTTCACTGCTGACAAGACCTGCTGGATCACCAGGCTGGCATCCTTCTCTGTGTAGACACCCCGCTCCAGGATCCGGTCAAAGAGTTCCCCGCCAGAAACACTGTGGGCATAGGGGCAAGCGCAGGAATCCAGGTCTTATTTCAGGTCAAAGGGACATAAGTGTGTTGCTCTGTAGCCATGAAGACACAGCTGTGGTGGAAGAGGCAGGTGCCCATGGCCTGGGCAGGGAGGTCTACTTTAGTCTGAGAATAACTCCTTTGGGTGCTGGAGTAATATCAGGAGGGAGTCATTTCTTTGAGCCAACCATTGCCCTCTCCCTGGACCCTCCCTTAAAATGCAAAATGCTCCTGGTTAGAGTCAAGCAAGTAGCCCATAATCCCTTTGTGAACACATTCTTAGCTGCCTACATTCCTGGCCCTAGGACCCAGGGAATCATAATGAAAAGGAAAGATGAGACTGAAATCAGGCCAACGCAGGACAGAGATGGTGTACAAAGGAGACCAACTGTGCTTGTGTTGGCATTTCTTTCCTCATCGTGGAAAGCTGGGCTACCTAAAGCTGGAATCATGGACGGAGCTATAGCCGTATTTGGAGACTCTAGTGGTATAGCATCTTAGGACTCAGGGGCTTTAAGATCCAGTCTGCCCCTGTCTCTTGAATGCCATCTACACTACTTTTGCCAAAAAGTTCTATAGTCCATAGTGGAACACCACAGAGGGAGACCACTCACTACCTCCTAAGAAAGACTGCTTTATCTTTCACCACCTTCTCAGTATTTCTCTATATTATGATGGAACCTACTCCTTGCAGTTCTGCCTGAGGACACCACATCCACCCATGGGGCCACACAGAACAAGAATACCATCCTTTCACGTGAATCGTTTCCAGTATGTGAAGGCAGCGAAAGGCTCAGCTGAGGCCCTCTCCAGGCAAACATTTCAGCCTATGTCAACCATGAACCAGGGCTTCCAGTTCTGTCACAGGCCTGGACCCCTTCTCACTGTCCCAGGACACTGGCTACGGACATGCGTGTGTGATAGGACCATGTGGTTAAGAGGAAGGAGAATTTCTCTAATCAAAATGCATACCACCCTACTCCTTTGTTTCTGTTGAAAGCTCTGGGCCCTGCCACAGGAGCTAGAGGCCCAGGGGAAAGATAGTCCTTATGCACAAGGAGGAATTCCTGACTTGGAGCATCTTGGGTCCTAGCGCTGGTACTCTCATCGGCTTTGCCACTCTTTGGGGACAGCTCAATCTGCCTGCTTCCCTGCCTCCCCTACTGTCTCAATGTGGGCTAATCCTGTTGAACTGGCCTCATTAAGGTGCCACATGATCCCTGCTCACTTGTTAGTGCTGTTCTGCCTCCCCGCGCTCCTCCCCCCACCACATCACTCCCTTGACCACCTGCTCCCTCTAGTCACTGCGCCTCAGGTGAGCTGAGGAGTTAAAAGGCTGCTTAGACCTGAGTTAGCTCATCTGAGTATCTGAGGAATCAGCCTGTTGGTCAAAAATACTGCATCTAGCTACAGAGATTGCAGAGTGGGGTGTGTGTGTGTGTGTGTGTGTGTGTGTGTGTGTGTGTACTTTATAAATAGAAGTTTCTCTGAGTCCAAGGCTGAGCCCTCAGAAGCACCAACCAATGCCTACAGCATTCACTCCCAGGCAGAACTCCTATTTATACGTGACGGGGATGTGCAGACTTTTCTAGTGAAGTGCCATCTCTGTCCCACAGATGGGCACACACACGGTCACAGCTTGTTTTAACATTGGATGGATCTCTTTCGAGAAGGTCTTTTCTTTAAATATCAAATTGAAATCTAGGTACCTATGGTTTCTAATCCCACAGTAATTTTACCCTGGAGTGGCATTAAGACATTTATTTTTCTTTCTTTTTTAAAGATTTATTTATTAGGGAGAGAGAGAGAGAGCATGAGCAAGCAGGGGGAGTAGCAGAGGGAGAGGTAGAGAGAGAATCCTCAAACTCTCTGCTGAGCATGAAACCCAGTGAGGGGCCTGATCCCAGGACCCCGAGAACATGACCTGAGCAGAAATTAAGAGTCGCCCACTTAGCCGACTGAGCCACCCAGGTGCCCCGGCATTAAGACACTTAATATTCAGTGTGATGGACACAGACTGGTCAAAAAGGACTCGGGCCATGGTGCCAGAGAAGGGTTCTGGAGGTGCCTTGCCATGCCAGGCATTATCCCTTTAGCTGTGGGATTGTGGGAAGGTCCAGAAAGTCTGAAGGGGGCGGCTGGGACAGCAGGGGTAAATGAATGAGTTGGAGTCACAGCTACTCACTGACTTGTAGAAAATATTTTTTAACAACTGGTAAGGCTGTACTGGTACAGACCATTTCAATCATCAGTCCTAGATTTACCCCTCAGTCCACACAGAACATGTTTGTGACCAGAAGCATACTTAGCCTGAGGGAACTTTTGGCATTTGAGAGCTTCTTTAGCTAATTTTTGATCTTATCTTTTGAATCCCCATACTCCCCTCACCACCTCTAGGCCTCCCAGGCCCCCAAGACACCTGTGGAGGAAGTGGGTCACCTTTCACTTACAGCTGCATGACCAGGTAGTAGTGAGTGGTGCTCTCGTAGATGTCCTCTAGGGTCACGATGTTTTCATGCTTGATCCTGGGGGGACATGTAAGGCTCATGGTGAGTAGTATGTGGTGTAGGTGGGTCAGACAAGGAATGGACACCCAGCCCACCAGACTTTTATTTCTGTTGGAGACTTCTGATGACAACGTTTAGGAAGAGCAGATCCTTGTGAAGCCTTCTCAATAAAAAAGCAGTCACAAAGAAATCCTAGAGAAAAGATCCCAGGGTTGTATTCAATCCATATTTTTGAATGGATAATTGATCATCCTGCCTTCAGGGAACCAACATTTTGTCACTTCCCCAGAAAACTCTTTAGACTTTACCACAAGAGAAAGTTAAAAGAACCGAAGAAGGCTACGAACACACCCCAAACGAAATTATTTTACAAAATGGGTATTGGATCTCCTTCAGAAACATCCTTGAAGAAAGCGGACTGCAACAGAAGAGAATCAGGTTAGCTAAGCCTCCTCATGGGTGACCATGGAAGGAGTTCTGCAAAATTATTATTCCAGAATATTGTGAGGAGCAAGGAAGGTGCTGATTTCTGGGGTCAGTTCTGTGGGATGTTGTGGATCAGTAATTCTCAACCAGGGCCTCTTTTATCCCCTGGGAGACATTTGGCAATATCTAGAGACATTTTTGTGGTTGTGACTGGGGAGGAGGGAGGCGCTAACTAGCATCTCGTGGGTAGAGGTGGGAATGCTGGTAAACATCTTAAAATGCACACAGAGTAACCCCCCAACCCAGTAAAGAATTTAATACTTTTCTCTTTTATACTCTTACTGGTCTACCTGAACCCAGTCGCTTCTCTTTCTTGAATCCAGTCTTCCTGCTACCACATGATCTTGCTATTACCTTCGCTTGTATCCTCATCCTTTGCTGAGCTTATTGAGGAAGTGTTAGAATTGGTCTCCCATCCTCTAGGCGCTCATCAAATCCATGTTCCACCATCCTTAAGAGGAATGGCTCTAAAATAGAAATCTGATCATGTGAGCCTTTCCTTAAAATCCTTTGATGACTTTTTTTTTGCCCACAGAATAGAGTCAGCACTCTTTATCATGGTATCCAAGACCCTTCATCATCAGGTCTCATTTGATTCCATCTCCTGCCCCTTGATGGTCCTCACTCTAAGCTCAGGGGGTCCCAACACTGACTCTTCCCTAACATCCTCTGTACTTTCACAGTTCTATGTTAAAGTTTATGTTACCCTCAGCCTGAATTCCCTTTCTGCATTGCCTCTTCTGTGTCCATCAAATTCTACTCATCTATCAAGGTTTCTTTTCTTTGAAAATGTACCTAATACCCCATACTCATTAAGAAAAAATGTAGGCAAAATAAATCTCTGTCTTCTCTAGACTTTGCCTTCTGCTACCGCTGGCTCATGCTCAGTGGGATTAGAGTTTGTTATGGGCACTTCTGTTCATGCCCAGAAAATGTGAGCTTCTGAAGGTAAGGGATTTTAGCAGCCTCATTCTTGTGCTCCTGATGCCCAAGACACTTTTGGCATACCCTGGGGTACCACAAGGCTTTATTATATGGGTCCTGCTGTTACCATTTGATGGTTTGTTAGCCTCTGTCATGATGGTCGGGTGCTGAACCTACATTTGCTTTGGTACAATCCAGGCTAATTTCCAAATCTTATTCTGCTTCCTTAATTACTGATTCTTCCTGGTATTGGCCCTCAGTTGATTTTTGTGCCTTCTGGCTAATTACTCTCTGGTGTACATGCACAAACCAGGTCTGGCGCCAGCTGGTTTGCTAATCAATTTGCTGTATGCCTTTCCCACCGTGCCCACCCCTCCCCACCAAAATCAGCCAAGACACCTGTCTGGCTAAACTTAGCCGACTGATCAAACGGACCCATCAAAGCGATGAAAGAAAGCAACGCCTTTAGGTGTGGAAATCAGCTTAAGTCCTTCTCAAATGTAATTTGTGAAGGAAATGTTGTGATCCCACAGTTGTACCTGGCCAATACTAGGACCCACTCACTTTTTCAACACGGCAATCTCGTTCTCCAGACTGCTGTCCCGGAAGGCAGGTGACTTCTTGATGCACTTCAGGGCAAAGAGCTTCCCCGTCAGCCTTTGCTTCACCAGGAAAACTTCTGAAAAAGCTCCTCTAAGTAGAAGACACCAAGAAATAACAATTAGTACTGGCTGGCTCGGGAACACTGTCGGAAGCAAAACCAAGGGGTAGATGAAGGATGGCGTGGCTGGTAATTAGTTTCCGTTGTTACTGTGGGGACCTGAGGAGCTGTATCGAGGGCAGAGCCTATCTGACAAGCCCTGGGTCCTTTCTTTCTAGAAGGAAAAGTTTCTATACAGACACAGAGACTAGCCAGGTGCTATTTCCTGATCCTATAATTTGCGAAGGACTCCCAGGGACTTGGCTTTGGTTATGGAGAAATTTCCATCTGGCCGAACCATTAAAGAGGGGCCACTGCAGAGCCAATTTACTTTGCTTGTTCCAGCACGGTGGAGTGTGGCACACTGGAAAGGCAGCTGGAGGTAGCACTGGGGACAGGGCTTAGGCAGGGATGGAAAAAAACTCCAATCTCTGTTTTCGATGGTGATAATTACCCTGAACTCATTATCAGATCCTAAGGGGAGCTGAGCACCCTCTCATTCAGTAGGATCTGTGAGAAAGAAAGACAGGACCCCAGCAGCTCTGGGAAGGTTTCCTGAAGATGGGGAAGCTGGAATCCAATGGAAACATAGGGTAGGATTCCAAAGAACAGCGTTTTTGTTTTGTTTTGTTTTGTTTTGTTTTTTAAAGGGACCTCTGAGACCAGGCTGGAGCTGGAGCCGTAGTTAGCTAGCAGTGGTTGCTGGAGCCCAAGTGCCTGTAAGTGAGGACCTCAGCTTTGCGGGTGACAAGTCACTGAACTTCTATAAACCCAGTTTCTTGATCTGAAAAGGGGGAGTGTCAGTAGTAGCTGATTCACAGGGTTGTTTATTTAGAAGACTAAATGAATTAACATATGTCAAGTGCTTAAAAGCATTGCTGACATCTGTTATACTGCACGTGTCAGACACTGTTATTGTTATTACTATTATTATTTGAATACCATTAGGGAGGACACCTGGTAGTGACAAGAGGCCATAGCGTGTAAGGGAGGAAACAGCTGAACCATCCTCTCCCAGGCCATCTGGGGATTCTAGAATGGAGGCCCAATAGCAGTGAAGCTTGTGCAAGGACTTTGAGAATCTGCATTAGAAAATACTTGGTGTTTCCTGGGTCTGAGCTTCCTGTTTCCCCCAGCTGCACTCAACTGAGTTAATCAGAGCCTTCAGAGCTTCCTCTATCCAGTCATTCATTCCTTCACTCATCCCTTCAATCAAGATTTATTGAGCACCTACTGAGTCAGACACTGGAGATAAAAAGGTAAGTGTTTCTGGTCTTAAGAGGCCTGTAGACAAGTGAGCAACACAGACAAATGAGCCATTAACATTTGATGTGAAAGTTGTTATTAAGCACTCAGTGAATGCTTGTTCAGCTGACAGACCCTCTGCGCTAGCCCTCGGCTGAGTATCAGTCTAGCGCAGAGTCTGTGTGTGAGATGGACACAGACGGAGAAGCAGGGGGTGTTGGGAGACCACAGACAATGAATGCTGCAGACAGGGTCTCTGCTTGGCTCTGCTATCAGCAGATGCCCGTCACCTTGGAGCCACCGCACATCTTCATCCAATAATTATCACAACACTTCTCCCCAGCAGATAGCAAGCTGGAAACAAGGGCGCTTTTTTCCTAGTGTGTACAATGTGGTCGCTTGGAGTAGCTAAGAAGCACGTAATTAATTCCCGGCCTTCGGGCTTCAGAGCACCCTGAACCCAGTTTTAAGGGGTGAATGGGAGTCAGCCCAGTGAAGAGCTGGAACGGCTGTCCCAGGTGGGGGTGAGAGGGACTAGCACGGAGGCACAGGAGAGCAGGGCGGGATGGGGCTACTGGGGCCCAGCACCATTTGTGAACTATGAGACAGGGAACAAGGGGGAGAGTCATGAATGTGCAGGAGAACCGGGTCCTCTGCCTGATCACCTACGAAAAATGCTAAAGAGATGTGTGGTGGATGGCTGGATGGAAGCCTGGAAGGCTGGATGTGAGAGAAGTCTGGCCTGGGATTAGCTGTGTGTTCTATTCATCTGCAGATCCCACTTTCCCTAGTGTGAAAGGAGAGAGGTGAACCACACAGCCTTCAAGGTTCCTGCCGGCTGTGACTTTCCGGGACCCACTTTCAGAGTCCCCACTTTCTACACACAGGTGGCCCCCCCATTTCAAAGCTGACACCCACCCTGGGTCCTCTTGTGGAATGAGATCAAATTGAGGCCTTCCTGGGGGTGTCATTTATATTGCAGTGTGTGTGAACGGCGCCGCCTGGAGTTGTGCAATGTTGTGGCAATTCAAAATGGTGCTATTGCCCTTCTGCCTCAGGCTGCTTTGTATCAAGTGCGAGTGTGTGCGAGTGTGTGTGTTGCATGTGGCACATGTGGTGGGGTAAGGGAGAGCAATTATAAGACTTACTTGTGCTGTTGGTCAGACTGGGGAGCAGAGGGAGCGGAGAGCTAGTTTTGAGCAGTTAAGGTTGCTGGGGTCAGAAGGCAAGACAGGTAGAACCTCTAGAGCCAGGAGTGCTTTACTGCCATAGAACTTGGTCTGCCTTTCCTGCTCTGAGGAGCTCTCCCCTCTTGCTGGGAGAGGTGACGGAGGTTCGAGGAGAAAATCCTCTTCCTGCCAGTGGAAGGAGGAGGGCTGGCAGCTGGTGACATTCTCCCTGCTATAAACTAGCTCTGCCCAGTCTCCCTCCCTTAGGGCCCTGGAACTGTGGGTGACCTCCAGGCAGAGTCAGTAAAAGCCTTCTCTCCCTGGTGGGTTGTTCCAGAAGAGCTGAGGGCTACAGAGAAGGAGGCTTTGTCCTGAGATTCTGGGGCATCGTGCTCAGGGGAGTCTGCTCTGCCCACTGCTCCCTTCCATTCAGCACCTCCCCTTAGTAACGACATGGGGTCTGCAGCCTGGGGTGGCCTGGCCCACTCCTGGGCACTGCAGGGGTGCCTACTCTTTAGCTTTTGTTCAGCTGTTGCAACAGCTGTCACCTGCCCCCCTGTCTTGTCTCCTCAGTTCCCCATATCAGGGCGGGGCTGGGTAGGTTAGAGAAACTGAAAGCATGTAAAATAGAGATTCCTGGCTGCCCAGTCCTGACCCTGTCCCCTTCCTCAAATTCCAGGGCGGCAGGTCTGGGACTGGGAATCTATATTTTTTTGTGGGTTGGGAGGACCTACATAGGCTAAAATGCTATTAGGGAATTATTATTAACTCTCTTGAGTGTGGCAATGCCAATGTCTCTTGAGTGCATATAGAAGAAAATGCCTTTATTTTTAGGAGATGCAGACAGAAGGATTCCAAGGTGACATGTCATGATGTTTGCAACTGTTTACAAGTTGTTCAGGGAAGTCGCACGCGCGCATGTGTGTGTGTGTGTGTGTGACGTGTGTATGTAAAACAAATACAGTGAAATGTCAACGATTGTTGAATCGAGGTGGCGAGTATATTGGTGGTTCAGGTACTATTATTTCACTTATTCTTTTTTTAAACTTAGATATTTTCACAGTTGCAAGTTAGAGAGCTAAGCTCCCCCGGTGACTCTGATGTCCCTCCAGATTTAGGACCTCTGGGCCGAGCTCCACGAGAGCAGCAAGTGTCTGGCTTTTGCCAGTCCCACAGCCCGCGTCTGAGCAGACCATGAATAAGCGCCTGTCAACCTGGGCGTCCTCCCTTCCTTCTCTTGGTTTTTGGGATTCTTAGCAAATCATTTCTGATACACGCATGAGTCTTATCCCTCTCTCCTGCCAAAAATCCCCTCTAGCCACCCCCGTTTTGGCAGGGGTCCTTGATGGAGGGCCAACACTGTGATGACCAGCACCAGTGCCGAGCTCCTCCTGGGGGGCTCAGACCCCGACACTTGCCTGAGCAGGGAGAGCTCTGGGGGGGGGGGTCTTGTCTTGGGGCCGGGCCTGGCTCCTCTGCGTCTACAGTGAGAGTGTGGGCAGCTGTCACTGTCCGAGGTCACTGACTCCTGGCCAAGGCAGAGGGAGCTAAACTTAGCCCGAATTGGCTCAAGGGTAAGCTTGCTTGAATGGACAGCCTACTCACTGCCCCTCACTTCCTGGGGCCCAATTAGCCCAGACTAATTAGCTGGCCAGCTGGGGTCCTGAGGCTACGGAGCCGGGGGCCTTGGAGCCGTTGGCAGCCTGCGTCAGAGCCTGCGCCCCCCCAGAGGAGAGGCAGGACTGAGCGGACAGTCAGCTCCAGACAGGCTGTCTCTGTTCCTCCAGCCGTGTAATCGTTGTCAAGGGGCAGGCGCAGACACTCCAGAGGCTGGTAGGAGTTTGGACTACGGCGTGACTTTATTTTTCCAACATGGCACTTAAATACAGAGCAGAGAGGATGGTGGTGGGGAGCGGACTCCGGCGTGTGTCCCGTCAGCTCTCTGGGCTCCAGAAGCCCCTTCTCCTCTGTCTACAGCAGATAATGGAGTTGGCTGACCTGCTCGCTGCCAGGGGAAATAAAGAAGCTGGAGGAGGAGGCCCATGAAAGTTCTAGGGCCACTGAATCTCTGGAAGGGCTCCAGAATGCCTCTTTCCTGCCACTAGGGCAAGAAGCCACAGGTTGTCCCAGACCTAGAAGCAGGGTCCCTGGAGGTGGGCCAGGGTGGAGAGCCTAGGGAAAGAGCTGGTATCCCTGCAGGCCCCAGCGTATGAAACCATGGTAGCTTCCTCTACTCTACCTACCTAGTCCCTTCGAGCTGCTGAGATGATGTCCCAGAAGCCTCAGTCCCAACTTGTCAGCTGCTGCTGGCCCAGAACAATTCTTTCCAGGCTCCCCCCACCCCCACCCAGCACACAGCCCCACTGCCCCATCTCTCAACCCCGGGACTCACGATCCCAGCACTTCCATGAAGATGAAGGTTTTCCGGATGTTCGTGGTCTGTTTCTTCCAGGAGCTGCAGTCATCGTCTTCCTTTCGACCCATCGCCTCCAGAGTTGAAGCTTTGGGGGAAGCTTTGAGGAAGGGGAGAAAAGGTCTGATCAACTAATGTCTCAGACAGGATGAGAACATGGCAAAAAGAATAGAAAACACATCTTTTACGTAATAACTAGAACGAAGGATTAGGAGCAAAACCTGGATAATGGGCAAAAATAACACTTTCTCTCCAGTTGCTTTTTAAAATTACTACAACAGGGGCGCCTGGGTGGCTCAGTGGGTTACATGTCTGCCTTTGGCTCGGGTCATGATCTCAGGGTCCTGGGATTGAGCCCCAAGTTGCCCCCAACCCCACACTGGGTGCGCTCTCTTAAAAAAAAAAAAAATCTAAAATTACCAAAACAAATGTGTTGCACGTCTATTACCTACCCACTGTACTTGCTGAACACTCAAGGAGTTGAGAGTCTAGTGGTGCAAAGTCCACTTTGTACGTATGTATTTAAGGGCAGTAACGCACACATGTATGGATTAGTACACGAACATCCACCCTGGGGGGATCTGAGCTGAGCTGTTTCCTTTGTTTGCAGGAGATGGCCAGAGTGTTGATTCAAACCCCGGAATCAGCCCGACGTCCTGTCGGTTACCACCTGTTGTATCCATTCTCCCACCTCCCCAGTGATGCTTACTGCTACCTCTCTCCTATCTGTTCTGGGCTAAATGAAAGGCATCATTCGATGAACGAGCATCGTTTCCTCCCAAACTCCCACAACATTCGTACAGGGCTGAAGAAACAGTTACTCATTCAAGTCTGAACTGAATCTTGTCCTCTTTGTATCGGGGTTCCAGAATCGCCATATTCATTCACCCGAGTCAGCAGCTGTGATGTGCCTGGTGCCGGCCGCGTACCAATGATGGTTCTGTCTTGGGACCGGCAGGCTCCAGAAGGCATGCAATGAGCAAGGGAAGTACCCCACGTGCAGTGACGGAGTGTGGGAAAACCGTGGAAGAATAAAAGCTAGGTTTGTAAGAGGGAAAAATGGGGATGGTCACCTTTAGAGAAAGTCACGGAAGGGCCTATAGTTGGTCATGTTTAATCTGGGATCGGAAGTGTGTGCAGGAGCCTGCCAAGGACGGAGTGTGTGTGAGGGAGCATTTTGGCAGACGGAGTGAAATACAGGAGGTCAACGTGGAGGCGGGGCAGGAACAGAGCCTGAGGGGATGGGAGGAACAGTGTGGCTGGAGCCAGGTGTGCTCTGCAAGACTCGGGGCAGTGAGTGGGCAAGGAAAGGAGGTAGGGGACCAACCACAGAAGGCCTTATCGGCTCTGCTAAAGATACTGGATTTTCTTCTAAGGAGACCACAAAACACGGAAGGATTTTTAGCAGAGCAGGTACACCCCTGACGTTTCAGAGCTCACTCCAGCTGCTCTGAGGAGAATGGGGCGGGGGTAAGACTTGGTACATGGAAAATGGGTGGGGGACAGATGTGCAGGAGAGAAATGGGGGTGGCTTAGATCATGCTGGCAGTGAGGGAGAGAAGGGGGCTCAGGTTACGTTCTGGGGTTCTGATTATACGAGGTCAGGCGATGTGCCCACAGAGGGTGAGAGAGGTCTAGGCTAGCTGTCCTGTTTCTGGTAGGAGGATGGGGGGGTGTTGCCCTTAGTGAGTCAGTGAATACTCAACAGAAACATGTTCTTGGGGGTGGTTGGGTAGGTTGGGGGGAATCTCTGTCCCTTTGGGCCCTCTCTGCCCTAATAGTCTCTACTACAGGCTGACACTGAGTGTCTGGTAGGGGTGGGGGAACATTTCTGCCAACACCCTTTTCCCCATTCTCCTTGGACCTAAGAAGTAGGAAAATATGTCCAACGGATGCATCTCTTAGGCAATGCCCTTCCTTCCCCATCAAACAAACAAACAAACAAACAAACAAAAAACGAACAAAAAAACACTTGTAGAATCCATGGTCTTCTGATAGCCTCAACACAAAGAGGTTTGTGCCTCCACAATTTAGCATTGGGTAAAGAGCAGATTCAACCGGAGTTCAAACTCTGCTGTGGCTAGTTGCCACTTGAATGGCCGTAGGCGAGTTATTGACCTTTTCGAGTCTATTAACTCATCTGTAAAATGGGGACAGAGCCCTCTATGGTCATGGTGCAGGGTAAATGAAATAGTGGACATAGAGACTCAGCACATTGCCTCCCGTGTACTGTACAGTTGTGATAGAGATAATATATGGGGGATACAGAGTCTATGTAACCCCCGTCTGGAGGACTCATGGCATAAGTAGGTTCTAAGGGATAGAGGGAAACCGCTTCTGCATTCAGACACAAGTGTGAGGCGTAAGCCCCTGTGCATAAAAGGAACATGACTTGAGGGAGGGCCTTGCTGGGCAGGAACAGGTGGCGACAGACTGACAGTTTTGGTCTGAGTGGATCCTGGGAAGGAGATGGGGGAGATGGGTGCACACATCTTTGGTTGCACCCATCCAGGAATGGGGGAGGTTGGTGACACAGATGGGTGGCTTCTCAGGACCCTGCTAGGGAGAAGCCATAAGCAACTCGGATTGCAACCACACTGAACGGGCAGGACGTAATCATGGGGCAGGCCTAGAGGGAGGAGGTGAGTGAGAGGGGGTGGCTTGACCTGCAAGATTCTGGAAGTTCCCCAGGGCCTGTGGAGAGCTGGAGCCTGCTGGTTCCAGAACACGGTAGCTCAGTGTGTGGGTCCCCCCAGCTCTGTGCTGAGTGGTCTCATGCTGTCAGCTTGAAATTGGCTACAGTGGGAGTAAATGCCACAATCAGGCTTCTGTCCCACTCATCCTTAAACTCTGTCCTTAAACATTTATCATCTCACTTCTGCCCAGGGCCCTGGTGAGGGGACACAGAGCTGCTAGAGGGTCTATTCCCTGGGGTCCAGAAGAAGACAGCATTGATCAGGGCTTCTCAGGAGAAAGTAAGTGGCTGGGAGCTGGGCTTTCAGTGGAGGGTGTCAGCAGGATGTACCGCAGCCCACCTGAGGCCAGCAGTCATCCTTGGATGAGCTCCCAGACAATAGGGATCTGAGGTCCCTGAGGGGTCTGAGGCCCCCTTCTCCTCTATCTACAACCAAGTCGAGTAAGCATCTTATAACATAAAATGCCCCCTTGAAGTAGAATAAGAAGAGGAGAAGCCATCTCAAGGCTGTGTGTTTTCCTGGAAGAAACTGAAGTAGCTCAATGAGACTCTGTGGAACCTGAGGTGCTATAATGATCAAGTTCAAATTTAAAGTTCTCCATTTCCCTTTTCTGCTGCCTGGTGAGGGTAGGACTTAATGAGAAAGATTTTATAGGACATGAAGATGCTCTATTCTCTTTGTTCACTTCCGTATTGCGTGTAAACTCGCAACCTCACTGTATACTAACTGGTGGTGGATATTATGAAAAACGTGAGAAAAGTTACAAATTCCTTAGCATTTGGTATGTTCCAGTGCAGCCCCGGCATTGTGTGCTTGTCTTTTCAGGCCCGTTTGTGGAATTTGCTCCCCTGGGATGGTGGCGGCCCAGAGGGACAGTGCCAGGCACTAGCCAGAGGAGGACCTGCCAGCAAGGCCACAGCAACCTGAGCCCTGATTTGGAGGGCGTAGTCCACAAGGCACAGATAAATGAACCATGACTGGCAGACTGCTTTGGGGAAGACGAAATACTAGAATCAAGGGCTATCTTTAGCCAGATACCATTCTGCAGATTCTTAGCCCCAAATCTGGCAACTTCCACTTATCAGTGCGGCTGGCATCTGCGCTTGGACCAAGTGCTTGTTAGCGTACACACTGCAGCTGGAAGTCTTGAAGAATGTAGGGGATGGGGGCATAGGGGTGGACATTAAAAGAAGTCAAATCAACAGGGTCAGTCTGTGTCCCACTGTTTCTTCCACTCTGTCTCTCTCCACCCCCCCACAGACTGGCAGGGCTGCAGATGACGCTTTTCCAGGTAAGGACCCAACCAAGTCTCTTCTTTCCAGCTTGGGGACCGTCAGCTGGGTGTTCATTACTCCCCCTGCTGGAGCCCCATGGAATGATGGGCTGCTCTCCTGAAGGCACGACCACCTCATTAGCAGCTCTGTACTCACTGTTCCTTCTCTCCCATCTCTCTTAAATAGCTTAAAAACATAGTATTCTTAGCTAAGCTAGGCTATAAGAAAACATCTTTCCCGCCCACCCCTCCTCCCATACACTCAGTACCAACAATTTAGCTCTATCTTCAGAACAACGTGGAGAACTCAGGGGCCCGGATCTGAAACCCCCAGTCACTCCCGCCCCTCCCTGACCTCAGAGAGGTCCCCAGGCCCCAGCCCAGCATGGTGGAGCTCTAACCATGAGCTCTCAGAGGGGCAGCCCACAGTGTTTCTGCATCCTGTTTCTTTCTGTCAAAGTCCTCCCCCTGCTCCCATGACTCCTGTAATCTAGGTTCTTTCAGAGGAAAAGAAAACACATTCTGAGCAGCTTGCAGCCCCAAGATTGCTGTCATTGTTCCCAAAGTACTCCCACCTCTCTCCTTCCGGCCTCCACTTCCACTGGGCTTCAAGGCTCAGGAAGAGCCGAGTTACCGCTGATTTCACAGGTGTAGCTCAGGAGACGCCGTGGGCGTTGGCACCTGTGACCTCCACTCCTCAACAGGGCAAGGCCCTCGAGGACATTCTGCAGAAATGACTCTCAGCCAAGGAGACGACTTTATTCATGGGGCCATCTTTGAGGTGTGGAGATAACACTCCTTTGTTCCCCACTGGACAAAACGCGGACATTTCCCAACAGAACGTGCACGCGGCTCTCTGCCTGGGGCCAAAGCCGTGCAGAGGTCAGTGGTAGGTTGTCGGCGGATGTCTGAGTTTCCCTTCCTTGTGGATTGTTGCAGGCACCCTGTGCTACTCACCCGGAATCCCTAGTGCCTAGTATTGAGCCCAGAGAGTTCAGCCTGCCTGTGTTAAATGATTCAGTGAGGAGGAGAGGCCAGGGATGAGGGTGGGTTGATCAGAGAGTTGGACTTAAAATAGGGACATGGTGAAGGATGGACTCTTTACTTTGCTCTAGAGAGAGACCTCTAGCA